GACAAAGGGAGGAGAGGGACAAGAAGGAGGAGAGTGAGGAGGAGGAGTGAGGAGGAGGAGGAGGAGGAGGAGGAGGAGGAGGAGATTTCCCTTGCTCCGCGTCCACGTCTCCCTCGCCACCACCCACCCGCCCCCCCGCATCCCCGCAGGCGCCCTCACTTTCCCCTTTTTCCCCACGCTCCCGAGGCCTGGAGGCGTACGCGGAGCCGCCGCCTCGGAGCGCCCCGGAGATTCCAGCCGAAGGAGGCACAGGAGGGCAGCGACTGCAAAAAAACCCAGGATTGCAAAAAACCCAGGATTGCAAAAAAAAACAAGGATTGCAAAAAAAAACAGGATTGCAAAAAACCAGGTTTTTTTGCAATCCTTTGCAATTTGTTTTGCAATCCTTCGTTCAAGAGGGGACACGGAGGCTCAGGGGAGGATGTATCGACCCCCCCTCGCCCATTGATCGCCGATGGGGGCTGGATAGCCCACCCTGCCCAGAAGCGTGCGAAATCGCCGTCGGGGGCTCAGCGCCCACCCATCGGCGGTGCATCGCTCATTCCAGGTCGGTGTGTCCCCCTTGTCGCTGCCCCTCAGGAGGAGGAGGAGGAGGAGGAGGAAAAGAAAGAGACGGGAGCAGGAGTAGGAGCAGGAAGAACAGGCTGTGGCCGCCGCCACGTTTTATTACCTGCACCTCCTGCTACAGCGCGGCCATCCCCCTCCCTTCCTGAGGTTCACGCTGGTGGCAGCACCGTATTCGCCGTTCCGTCGTGCCTCATCTCCCCCCCAAGGAGGCTGGGAGACATACGGTCGGGGCGTTGGTTAAGGAATTGTTTCGTACCTCGGAGGATTCACACCGTGGAGGATTCCTTGTGATGAGGGTGGTGTTGATCTTCATGGCCAATCCAAAATTGGAGTTGGACCGGCTTCCAGTCCCTGCATTATTTATCTAAGGTTTTTTGTCCAAGGCCCCCACCGTAGGCCTTTTTAAATTCCCCACATGCTTAGTGGGGTTATGGTTATCTTCCATGCCTCGTCGCACCCACGCTCACTCACCTCACCTCCCGCTTCCCCTTCTCACACAGCGCAGCACAGCACAGCACAGCACAGCACTGCACTGCTCAGCGTAGCTCAGCACAGCTCAGCTCAGATCAGCACAGCACAGCACAGCTCAGCACAGCACAGAAGGGCATAGCAGGCGTGGCATTCTCTCGACAACATAGGGGGTGCTAAGGGGCTGGTCCCTTACCGCGGCCGCTATACACGACGGTCGTCCAGGGCATAGCAGGCGTGGCATTGTCTCGACACCATAGGGGGTGCGCAGGGGGGGTCCCTCACCGCGGCCGCTATACACGACGGTCCTCCAGGGCATAGCAGGCGTGGCATTTTCTCGACACCATAGGGGGTGCGCAGGGGGTGATCCCTCAGCGCGGCCGCTATGCACGACGGTCGTCCAGGGCATAGCAGGCGTGGCATTTTCTCGACACCATTCGGGGTGCGCGGGAGCTGGTCCCTTACCGCGGCCGCTATGCACGACGGTCGTCCAGGGCATAGCAGGCGTGGCATTTTCTCGACACCATAGGGGGTGCGTAGGGGGTGGTCCCTCACCGCGGCCGCTATGCACGACGGTCGTCCAGGGCATAGCAGGTGTGGCATTTTCTCGACACCATAGGGGGTGCGCAGGGGGTGGTCCCTCACCGCGGCCGCTATGCACGACGGTCGTCCAGGGCATAGCAGGCGTGGCATTTTCTCGACACCATAGGGGTGCGCAGGGGGTGGTCCCTCAGCGCGGCCGCTATACACGACGGTCGTCCAGGGCATCGCAGGCGTGGCACCTTCTCGACACCATAGGGGGTGCGCAGGGGTGGTCCCTCACCGCGGCCGCTATGCACGACGGTGGTCCAGGGCATAGCAGGCGTGGCATTTTCTCGACACCATAGGGGGTGCTCAGGGGCTGGTCCCTTACCGCGGCCGCTATGCACGACGGTCGCCCAGGGCATAGCAGGCGTGGCATTGTCTCGACACCATAGGGTGTGCGCAGGTGGTGGTCCCTCAGCGCGGCCGCTATAGACGACGGTCGCCCAGGGCACAGCTGGCGTGGCATTGTCTCGGCACAATAGGGGGTGCGCAGGGGGTGGTCCCTCACCGCGGCCGCTATACACGACGGCCGTCCAGTGCATAGCAGGCGTGGCACTTTCTCGACACCATAGGGGGTGCGCAGGGGGGGTCCCTCACCGCGCCGCTATACACGACGGTCGTCCAGGGCATAGCAGGCGTGGCACTTTCTCGACACCATAGGGGGTGCGCGGGGGCTGGTCCCTTGCCGCGGCCGCTATGCACGACGGTCGTCCAGGGCATAGCAGGCGTGGCATTTTCTCGACACCATTGGGGGTGCGCAGGGGGTGGTCCCTCACCGCGGCCGCTATGCACGCCGGTCGCCCAGGGCATAGCAGGCGTGGCACTTTCTCGACGCCACTGGGGGTACGCAGGGGGTGGTCCCTCACCGCGGCCGCTATGCACGACGGTCGTCCACGGCATGGCAGGCGTGGCACTTTCTCGACGCCATTGGGGGTGCGCAGGGGGTGGTCCCTCACCGCGGCCGCTACGCACGACGGTCGTCCAGGGCATCGCAGGCGTGGCACTTTCTCGACACCATAGGGGGTGCGCAGGGGGTGGTCCCTCACCGCGGCCGCTATGCACGACGGCCGTCCAGGGCATAGCAGGCGTGGCATTTTCCCGACACCATAGAGGGTGGTCAGGGGGTGGTCCCTCACCGCGGCCACTATGCACGACGGTCGTCCAGGGCATAGCAAGCGTGGCGCTTTCTCGGCGCCAGACGGGGTGCGCAGGGGGCGGTCCCTCACCGCGGCCGCTGGCTGGCTCGGACCTGTCCTCGATGGAGGATAGAAGGCTAGGAAGAGGGAGGAGTTTCAAGCGATATGGCATTGGATGACATATAGGGGGACACTCGCCACGAGGGACCAGAACGCAGAATTGCGCATATAGTATAAACTTAAGCAAACACATGAGGTTTAAATTTTGCATGTGGGGTTCCTCGGTAGCGTAATTGTGCTGATTTTTGCTACAGTCGGCGCACGACAAGCCCTTGGCATGCCTTGATATCCCCTGTCAAGCCTGAATAACCTTTGACAGCCCGTCGCACGCCTTACGCAGCACCGCGGCCTTTCAAGCCTTATGGCTGTTGTCAAGGGTTGATCGCTGACCGATTGGATCTCCGAGTTGACATTGGTTTGGGTGTACGTTCCTACGATGGAAAATGCAGGTCTCCCCACGCGCGCGGAATTTTGTACTGTTCACAATCGAATAGTCGCCATGTTGGCATGGAAACTAAAGCCATCAGCGGTGGCCGACCGGATTTCGGGTGACCCGCGCGATGGGCGGGTCGCAGGCCACGCGTGCGTCAGCGCGAAGCGAAACTTGTATTGTCCGCAATGGGAAAGTATCCATGATGGTCCGGAAACCAAAATACACCGTAAGCCGTGCGGGATTGATTTTGAAGTGGACATGGTTGTCTAACGCTTGTTCCATAAAGAAGGAATCCCCTACGCACGTGCGCGTGCAGGGTTATGTCATGTCCGCGGTTGAGAAGGTCGCCATGCTGACGTAGGAACCCAAGTGGCCCGTTAGCGATGACCGACAGGATTTCCGGTGACCCGCGCGGTGGGCGGATCTTCCGCCGCGCGTGCGCGCGCGCGTGGCGAGTTCCGTAATGGTCACGGTAGGAAAGTCGTCATGTCGATCTTGGAACTAGAGTGAACCCTGAGCGGTGACCGACAGGATTTGGGGGGTTCACCCGCTGCGCATGCGCGCGCGTGGCGGGTTCTGTAATGATCACAGTAAAGAAGTCGTTTTGCTGGCCTGGGAACCAAAGTGGGTCCTTAGCGGTGGCGGATTTGATGTTGAAGTTCACGTGGGTTCTGGTGTCAGAAATCCCCACGCGCGCGCGTGAGGAGTTTTATGGAAAAGTCGCAATACTGGCGTGTGAACGCACGTGGACTCTTAGCGGTGGCCGACAGGATTTCGGGTGACCCGCGCGGTGCGTGGGTCACCCGCCGCGCGCGCGCGTGGCGAGTTCGGTACTGTCCACAGTAAGAAAGTAGTGAACCCTTAGCGGTGACCTACCTGATATCGAAGTTACCATGTTTTTGATGTCCCGAAGATAGAAACATACATCCTGTTTGCGAGAAACCTAAAGCGAACCCCGTGCGGTCACCGAGCGCGCGCGGGTGACGCGCGTCACCCGCGAGGCGCGTGGCGACTTCGACCTTGTCCACTGACAGCTATTGGCAGCGCGCGCGATCCTTGTAACATCAAAAAGCTGCCATCCTCTCTTCCTCCTCCTATTTTTCCTCCTCTTCCTCCTCTTCCTCCTCTTCGTTTTGTTGATTCCAGGGCCTTGGAGTGTAGGGGCTCGCGCCCTGGAGTATGGGCCACGGGGTCTTGGGCTCCTGCAGACCTGGAACCTGGGCCCTTGGGGGAGCGGGGCACGATCGGGGCGGGTCGGGGCTACGCCCGCACTGCGCGGCGCGTTTGCCCCGTCGTTCCCGAAGGGGAGGGGGGGCCCGCGCGCCCGCTCGGGGGGCTCACCTGGCAACCGTTCGTCGGCGGGCGCCCCCCGCGCGGCCCGCCTGTCCGGGAGAGCCCCGCGCCTGGGAAACACACCGGGGGCCCCCGGCATCGGATTCCCCTGGCGTGCCCCGGGGGGGGAGTGCAGCAACAGTTTCGGCATCCGCCGGCGCAGAATTCAATTGTAGCAACCAAAAACGAGCCAAACTGCAGCAAACCCAAACCAGGACAACTGCAGTAACCCAAACACGAGGCCGAGTGTAGTAAGTTGGTCGGAGCCACGAGCCAGAGTTGTACATGAATTTGAACGAAACTGCGAAGAGAGGGCCCAAGTGTAGTAATTCAAAAACGAGGCCAACTGTGGTAACCCAAGAACGAGGCCAAGTGCAGTAAATCGGAAACGGGGCCAACTGTAGCAACCAGAAACAACAGTCGTACGGATGCGGATGAAAATATGGTGCAGTGGTTTGTTTCGATGTTCTCTGACGGCATGGGACCCGGCACGGGCCGCAATGGTCTTTTCGGTTGGATCTTATTGCGTGGAGATGCGCTTGCTTCAGGATGGTCGGCAGCTGCTGCCTCGAGCCCGTCTGCAGCTGAAGGGCTGGGAACGTGCGGGCCCAGGTGCAGTGGGACCCCCGTATCCACAGATCATCGTGTTCGCCATCGCCCTCGACATGCTGGTTTGAGGCCTGGTGCGAATGGCCGCGCGCGTTGTGCTGCAGACCAGCCTGTACTCACGGCCGTCTGAGACGCTGGAACTTCGGGAGAATGGTATCCTCCGCAGCCGCCCTGAGGCTGGCCGAGCTTGCGTTGGCCGCTGGGCGGTGGTCTTCGCCCCAGCCGAGTCGGGGAGGACGACAAAGACAGGGCAGACGGACGATGCTGTTGATGTGGGCGCGTGCGGCAGAGAGAGGGTCAGAGACATCGTGGCAGCTCTGAACGACTCAGCGTTGCCTGGTGGGAGTGTCTTTGATTTCGACCTCCCGTCTTACGAGCGAGAGTTCCGGAAGTTCATCGGCTGAAGCCTTTGTGCACCGGAGGTCCCTCTCGCTGGCTTAGACACTCTGGTCGCTCCAACGACAGATTGTTTGAAGAAGCCGGACCTTCACTCAATTTAAAAGCGTGGTCGATAGGTCAGTTTCAAAAGCTTCACGCGGTATGAGAAGCATGCACAGTTGTTGAAACCACTGGAGAAGTGTAATCCTGATCAGTTCCGAAGCGCAAAGCACGCATCTGAAGTCTTGCCTGCCAGACTGCTGCACCCGCTTCAGGAGCTCTCGGTTTTAGAACCAGTCTCGAGGAATTCGGGAGTTTGGCCGCGAAGAGACGGTCCAAGCGCAGCTGCCTTTGACAAGACTCGTTCTTGCCGACATCGTGTCGCACGCCTGCTCACAGTAGCCTCAGCGCCCTCCGGCTTTTCTTTGTGGAGAGTAACCCCGAGGGGCCTACGTTTGTGCGCGGCTCGGCTTGCGTTTCCCGTTGTTGTGTCGGATATGTTCGCTGGTATGCGGTAAATTTTCCGTCGAGGGAGTTGTAATAGTTTAGATGTTCATGTTTTCAGGCCATGCATAGCATACAGGTCCGCGTGTGTCATGATGGCTCAAGTTCTGCCATCCTACGTCCGTGAAGTGACGGTCCAAGCGCAGCTGCCTTTGACAAACTTCGTTCGTGCCGACATCGTGTCGCACGCCTGCTCACAATGGTCTCAGCACCCTCTGGCCTTTCTTTGTGGAGATGAACCGCTGGGCCCGAGTGGCCCACGCCTGTGCGCGATTCGGCTTGCGTTTCCCGCTGTTGTGTCTGATATTTTCGCTGGCATACGGTAAATTGGCCGCCTAGGGACAATTTGTTTGCGCAGGGCGTCGCCCACAGGAGACGAAGAGGACCAAGAACGTGCAGTTGTTATGCTCGCCCTGGTCCCCTTGAGAAGGGGTGTTGCCTGTCGCCGTATATGTCAAACAATCCCCCCCCTCCTCCCCCTCCTACCCCCCCCCCGCGTGCGCGTGGACGGTGAGGTACGCGGCGCCGTGGACGGCGCCGCAGGCAGGGCCCCTCCCTTCGCGGCTCGAGGCGTCGGTCTTGTGGCCGTCTTTCCTCGCAGGCGATTTTTCTCCCCCAATCCCCGACTCTTCGACGAAAAATGGGACCACTCAGAAAAGGAGGGAGACCTTGGGATACACCCCCGGGGTGCTATTCGGACGCACCCCTACCGAGGATGGACGCCCCCCCCTCGTATATCCCAGAGTTGGTCCCTGAATGTTTGGTCCATTCGAAAACGCTACGAAGCCTGGGATAAGGGTCGACATATCCCCTGTTATTTCCTGACCCGAACCTGGCCCGCCGCTCGGGCTCCCGCCCTTGCAGGGGGCGCCACGGCGTCGCTCCCTCCCCCGCCCTTCCTCCCCCGACCCCTTCCTCCTCCTCCTCCTCCTCCTCCTCCTCCTCCTCCTCCTCCTCCTCCTCCTCCTCCTCCTCCTCCTCCTCCTCCTCCTCCTCCTCCTCCTCCTCCTCCTCCTCCTCCTCCTCCGCCCGGGGAGAGCAGCAAGAACGGAGAGATTGCTGCCTGAGCTTCCCCAGGTGGGGCTCCTGGGCCTTGGCCCCGTGTGCCCCTGGCCGAGGTCGAGGACGCGGTGACGGTGGGGAGTGGGGGGGCGGCGTCGTGGGACCCAGACCCCTTCGGGTCATGAAACAATTCGGGCGCGTCGGCTTCCGCGGTTCTCGGTATCCGGGGGGCCCTCGCCGGGCCCCGGGACCGCCAGAAAAGGATTCGGAACGAAAGACCGGTCTTGGAGACTGGGTCTAGAGCTCTGGGGGTCGACGTCACTCAACAGATCAAGGCGTCGGGGGTCTGGGGTCTGGGGAGGGGGGCGGGCGCCGAAAGTTGCCAGGAAGCCTTCGCGCGTGGGCGCAGGGCCCTTGCAGGCTGGCTGGGTGCCAGCGTAGGGTCCCTGCTTGGCCAGTGCCGCCATGTGCAGAGGGCAGCAGGCCGAATGCAGTTTCGGACGCAGTGGGCAGCGTAGCTACCGCCTCAGACTCCTCAGCACAGATCGTGCCTGCTGCCAGCTGCCACCTCTTGGGGGCCGTAATTCATCGTTGACGGGCACTTTGCCATGATATTGTTCCTGGTCCTGTCCCCCCCTGCGCTCCTCCTTTCCTTCGGTAGCACATCATGGGAACCCTGCGTGGCATCTTATCTCCGCCGTTCGAGTGCGCAGGCGTGCGCTAGCGACTGGTAATCGAGGAGAGAGCACCGACTTCGCGTCGAGCTGCGTCGATTTAGCGTCGACATAGCCGCAACTTCCTTCTGTTAGCGTCGATCCCCGAGATGCCAAGGGAGACCACTATGGGTTGCCACCGATTTTTTCGTGCGCTTGGCAATGTGGCGGGGAGACTTGACTGGGGGGGGGAAGAAAAAGGCCTCCTGAGGGCCCCCCCAATTGACCCCCCACCGGGACCACCCCCTCAGGAGCTCCTCAGGGCCCTCTCCTCCGGGCCTCCTCGGGGCCCTCTTGGGGACATCCTCGGTTAGGACCCCTCCCACTACCACATGCCCGAACTCTCCTCGGGCCGCCTTCCGCGCCCCGCTCCCCGCCGTCGCCCTCGCCCAGCCGCCCCGCGCGAGAGCAGAGGTCGCTGGCGGTCGTGGGCCTCGGCATCTCCGAGAGGCCGGCCGACCCCCCGGTGGGCTACACCGAGCACCCAGGACGGATTCCATCGCCATGGGGGAAGCGTGTCCTGAGAGAAACGGGTCCTGAGGTTGTTCGTGTCTGGACTGGCGGGGCCCTCTACGAGCCCCAGGGCTGAGTACCTGATCCGCCTGCCTTCCAGGTGCTTCATGCTTCCCCTCACCTCGTCCGACTGCTGGGCAAGATCTTTGCCGGAATGACCCTTGGCGCGAGCCCCCCAGGGGGTTCTTGGCTGTCCTGATGAGCTCGTTTAGAAACGCATCCCGCACCGTGTTCAAGACGCCCGTGTTGAGACGCTGCGTGTTGAGGTTCGAGGTTCTCGAACGTGTTCGTCGGTTCTCCGCGGTCGTCTGGCCTCGGGGTGTTCTCCAGCAGTTGCCCCTTGCTGAGAACCTTCTTGGGGTGCCCGGATCGTCCCGAAGGGCCGCCGGGGAGCCGAGCCGAGCTATGACGCGAAAGCCAGGGGGCAATGTCAGGGGGGCCCAGGGGGGTGCATCGATCCCCAGTCGCCCTGTCACTCGGCGGAGTAAGTACATTCATGCACCGACATGGTTTTTCTAACGTTGATCGGGCCCCGAAGAAACCGACCTCCTTTCGAAAGGGCGAGAGCATCATTACTCGCGCACCCCCCCGGGCGAAGTTTGCGCTGCTTTCGCCTCCCTCAGAAAAGGCGAATCCATGCACCGATGCGTTTGGGGGGCTTTGTGTGGACAGGGTGACGGGGTTATTTGGTCTGGCGGGGCTGCCTGGCCCCCCGCGTTACCACGTGCGCGCGGTGTAGGGCGTGCGTCAATCGCGGTGGCAGGGCGCCAAGGTTGTCGGGGGCCGTTGCTTTGGCTTCGCACGGTCTCCCTGTGTACGTTGTTTTTGGTTCTGATCGACTTGCCTGACGCGGTCGAACTCCTCGCGACCATGTCGGTGGATGGGTACATTCCGCCCGTTCATGCATGGCCGATCGGGGCCTCATGGCACACGCTGATGTGGAACATCCGTGCACGACGCTACAGGTTCGCGGTTTCCGAGGCAGTACTGTGCCTGTGGTTCTGGCCGAGCGCGGGGACCCTCGAGAAGAGGCAGGGAGGAGGAAGGGAGGAGGAGGAGGAGGAGGAGGAGGAATCGGAGGAGGAGGAGGAGGATGTCAAGAGGGAAGAGGAGGATTGGGAGAAGTAGGCGGAGGATGAGGAGAATAGGTGGACGAGATGAGGAGGGGCGTGGAAGGGAAGGGGGAGGGGGCAAAGGTGTGGGTAGTATGAGGATCATCGATGGGAGCAGGACGAGAGGGAGTGGAGGGCGACGGCGACGGCGAAAACCGATGGAGGCCAATATGTTTCAGCAGCTGCTTGCTCAGGGGAAATCCCTTCGGGCGGGCATTCTGGGGCAAGTGGGCGAGGAGGCGGAGGTGGATGATGAGAGGCGGAGAACGGAGCATGGGAGGAAGAGGGCGGGTGGCGAACCCGTGGGGAAGGACGAGGGTGAGGGAGAGAGAGCGAATGTGAAAAGACGACGCCGATAACGACGCCGACCGCGCCGCCCGCGACGACGACGACGACGTCAACGACCGCGACGAAGATGGGCGCGCCTGGGCAGGAGCCGTCGTGCAGGAGGCCGCGGGCAGCGGCCTCATTGCAAGCCTGGCGGGGGCCCCGTCTGCCCGCCCGTGGCCTGCTCGCCTGGCACAGGGGTCCGGGCATGACAGGGGACCACAAGCAAGACGAGTTGGATGTTTCGAGGGGGTCCCTCGGGGGCGAAGCCACCGACCTCGACATGAGCATTTTGATCGTGGTTGTGGTCGATGTGGCCGGCCTGGGGCGCCACATCGGCCACAAGCAGTACGAAGCTGGCTTCGGTGCTCTGACATTTTTGGGCATGCGCAATGCCCCAGGGTGTGTCCTCGATGCGGTTGTGGTCGCGCTCTGTCTCGCTCAAGGGGCGGACAGGGGGGTGGCAGGCACCGGCAGGACGGAAGGTGGTGTCTCGGGTCGCACGAACCCCCACTTCTTCTCGCCATGGGACATCACGGCGGGAGGGGTTGTGCCCTTCTCGGCGTCGCCGGGCCCCGGGACTGTGGGATACTCTGATCGAGACGACGAGGCAGCCTCGCGGAGGTGGCCCGACCCCCTGCGGGCCGACGTCAGTGACCCTGGAGGGGCAGGGATGTGCGGGCAAGGCGTGGGTCCACATCCACTTCAGCTTGGAGTTTCGGGCTCCCTTCCCGAGAAACCCACGGCGCCGAAGGCGGACTGGATATTGCTAAGAGGCTGCCCCCCAGAGGCTCGACTTCTTATCCATGTCCAGTGCGCCTCGGCCTTGCGGCGCCCTTCCGAAGAAGTCCAAGACGCACTGGATACGGATATGAATATTGCCCGCACAGGTGGCCGACGTCCGAGTTCTTGGACGGGCAGGGATGGAGAACAATTGCCAAGAGGGAAAACAACATTCAGACACAAATCATCGTCGGTTCCATGATAAATGCGGAAGATATGGAAAGTGGAGGGGAAGACGAACACCCAGGAAGCATTGACAAATATTGGGAATCCTGCGATTTGTTTCTATTGATTGATTAAGTTGTACCGGGGCACCTTCAGAAGGGGCGTGAGTCGGTTTTTGCCTTCGCTTCACGGGCGCCTCTGGCCTCGGGGAGGCGCTGAGGCAACCGGCGGCGTGCGGCTCATGCGCGGACTCTCGGCGCCGCGCCGGGGGGGGGGGGTGAGAGGGAGCAGGCCTGCCCTCGACCAGACGCAGGAGCGACCTTTTCGCTGGAGTGACCTCTGGTGCGGACCCGCTGGGGCGCCCCGATCGTTGAACGCGAAGAGCTGGCAGCGGTTGGCGAGCTTGGTTCTGTCGGGTCGGGCGAAAGGGGGGGATTGGGAAAGGGGGGGTTACGAAATTTGCTGCATGTAGCTGGTTTCGGCCTCACCGAGGGGCCCATTCCTCGATACATAGCCGCTCCCGGCGCCGGGAGGCGCCGGGAAAATCAGCTACGTGAGCTGATTCTCAAACCCCCCCTTTGCTATCCCCCCCTTTCGCCCGACCCGATGATCCCGCGCACCAGAGTTCACTCTTGCTTACAGTCGGGTTAGGTTGGCA